TTAAAAAAAATCAAATTTTAATCTTCTGGGCACATCAGAGTGCACATGAAGTTCCTTCTCGCTTCTAAGTTCATATAGCAATGAAACTATAGATCTGAACTTTGGCCCAGCTGAGAGCACCTCCACAAACACACAGAGCTCTGCTCAGTTTTGGGAGATTAATATGCTCTATCCAACAAAGAGTTGCTTCTTTCATGGATTTCTCACAGCTCTTCATGTGCAGTGCAGTGTAACGTGTAAAAACAAAACCACCTAGATGTGAGATTTGTAACTTTGCCTAGAAAAATGAAATTAAGGTTTCTATTTTCTTCTAAAGACAGTATTTCTCTCTAGCATCAATAAAAATTGCTAGTGCAATCTTTTAAGGCAAATCCCATATTCAGTCATTACAGAAAAAACCCAAACATCCAAAATGTCTTTGCAACTTCCTAAAGAAAAGCATTTACATGTTCATGTGCTTCACAGCATAATTAAAAGTTTCTTTAAAAGGCCCACATGCACAGTTGAAATCCATAAATACACATCTTGGGGAGCAGTGCCACCACGTGCCTGCTTCTCAGGGAAGGCAATTAAATTTTCCTCAGAAAAGCCTAAAAAACCCATAAAATAGGTTGCTTCAAGCAGTAATATCCCTACTTTTGTTCTCTTGCATAGGAAAAATCCCAAATGATAAATGGAATTATAGGACAAGTCAATAGCTATATGACTTTACCTTTCCCTTCATAACCACACAGTCCTCTTGCCTGTTGTTTGCATGAGTGGGTTCTCCACGAAGCCACTTGGTGTAGGTGACAGGTGTCCCATCACTCCATTCAAAATACATCTGAACCTTGAGGTCATTCAACCCAATCCATAGCTCATCAGCTGGTTCTAAAACATACAATTAGCAGGGTTAATAACAGTCCTTTTATATGATGAGAACTTTCAACTTCATGGAAGAGAAAATAATTTATGCTCAGGAAGTTTAAAAGGCAGACACAGGAAATTAGGACTCTCTGGTTCATAAAGATTGCCCCTTACATCCCCACTCCAGTCATCAGGAAAGGCCACTCACTGCAGTGGCAATAAATAAAAGTGTTTAACTTTGTATAAACCAGCCAAAATACTCTCTTTGTTGAATTACGTTGCAACACAACTAGGTTATATTTTTTTTTCCCCAACTCAAAACTCTTGTAGCAGGATATGAATAAACACCTAAATAAAATGCTACCTCCCCTTTTCCTCCTACCTTTAGTATAGTAAAGACAGTGTTCCATTTTCTAATGCTCAGACATAGTCTTTTAGAGCTGACTTGTAAGTTTTCCCATTACATATGTTCCTATATTTTATTTAATTTCAGAGCAAAATGAAATTCATATAGTTGGTGGACTTTTTTCACTTTACAGTTAAAGGAGTTAGCTGCTGGGTTTTGGCTGTAAAAAGTGCAGGACTAATCAAGAATTCTACTTCACAGCAGCTGTTTCTTAGAGGTTTATTTGTCTCTATTTAAAATCTTCCACTCTAGCACACTGCTACTATAATGAACCTATATACAATAATAAAACCTAGTTTTGTTCTGAATAAAATATCTGAGTAATGCGGATTAAAACTTTGGACAATTACAATCAATCTGAACTCCATCGTCATCAAAGGGCATTCCGCTCTAGAGCTGATATTATGACTTTTTTGCAGTGCAACTGGCATTTTAAAAATATTATTTAATGATTCATTTGTAGCCAGTTATCAAGCCTATGCTAATTGCAGAAGGTGTTTGCTTTTGTCCTCAGATCACACTGACCAACTATATGCATTGTCCTTTCCTTACCTAGCTGTCTTTCCAAGCAAAGTATGAACTACTTGGTTGCTAGAACTTGTTCATTAAGAGTATTTTTCATGAAGGATAGGGAGAATACTTTTTTAGCAGTTATTTTCTATTGATTGTAACCTTGCATTTCTACAACTCACCTACAGCACTAAGAGTTTTCTCCTGTTTAGTTTGCTATCATAGTTCTTGCATTCTTACCTAAGTCTTCCTAATACCCTCTGTCCAGGCTGGCCACAGTCAACCTAACAATGAAATCACTCATGGGAACTAAAACCAGGTTTGTGAGCACGCCCAAAAAGTCATTCGTTGCAGGAGTAGGTCTCTTAATGGAACTGGAACTGTTTCTTTTCTGTTGCTGCAAGTGCCTGTAAAAAAGCTAAAAGTCATTGCCCCTAAGGCAATCTTTTCTGTCACATTTCAGATGGAAGTTTTCTAGATATCCCCACAATCTAAAACTCTCCTGTGACATTCCTCCCAACTGCTAGTTCAGGAACATGGAGGCTTCCCATTTTGACCAACCAAACTGCTAGAAGAATCACTGTCCCAGCCTGTCACTTTAATGTCAGAGAGAGTCTACTTTCTCTCAGATCTCTCTTGTCTTTAGTATCCCTACGTACAAGCAGCCCCAATAGCTGGTCCATAATGTTCTTGCCATCTCTCTCCCAATAAGGAATGCCCAGATTCACAGGGCATCAGGCTCTATTTACAAGCAGGCACCTTTACCTCTTCTTCCAGGCTGCTCTTCATCTTCATCTACCTCAGTACCCATTTTTAAATTCTCCTCTGATAACAAAATTCAAAGTTGTTCCAATTCCACTGCCCACCATGATCTCATTCCCTCCTTGGCTATCGCTATCCATGCTCTCTAAATTATTTTTTTGTTTAGTTACCTCTTAAAATCTGTCTGTGTTTATTGAGCACTTAGCACAGCACAGACCTCATCCATGGCTCTCTGGTGGACTCACACCATGGTAATATAAGCAATAAAGAGCATTCCTTAACAAAGTAACTAGATCAAAGTAATCTAAATAAGCCATGCAAATCAAAAATGGCCAAAAGCTATTTCTGACTCTGTGGAGCCTCTTCCTACATAACATTTTTTTCTCACTAGCAGAACTGCTGGTTTTTGCAATCATCTGTACAGCTGGCTGACTAAATACCAAGATTTCTTTTTTTCATCCACTTGTAAAGCTGTTTGCCACTCTCTTAGTCATGCACTGGACCACATTTGTGCTGTATCACATGCTGGACTTCCGTGTAAACATCCAGGATGCACTTCTTTATTCTTCATGTTCCTCTCTAAAGTTCTCCTTTGTGGGTGATGCCAACAAAAGCTCAGCTACCATGACAATCCTCATCTCATTGTACCCTTTCTTCCTTTGTTTTATCATGGGACTGTGAATTGTTTGGCACAGACTGTTGCTCTTGCTGTACAGCACTTACTGCAGCAGTTCCAATGCAGACAAGATTTTCTAGGTGGTGAACAAGGCTAAACTGATAGAGTCATAGACTTCTGTAAAAGGTTTTTTTTAGTTGTCCAGTTTTACTCTTCTGAAAAGAATGGTTTCAAAACAGTCTGTTGCAGCTAGTGTGTCACATGTGAGAATCCTATTCAGGACTATTTACCTTTCAGAAACACTCACTTTTACAAAAATGGTGCAGTGCAGTCAGTTCAGGAAAGATTTTTGGAAAAGGTATCAAACTATGAAATAATCTACTTCCAAGATGTAAGGTGAAAATACAACTAATTTCCTTTAGAGCACAGCTGCTTTCAAATGTCCTGATGTCCCATCAACAGGTTCCACCTTTCTTAATACCGTACTTTGAAGGAGTAAAAGTTTCATGTTGTTCATGAAAAAACAAGTCACTCTTTCAGGAATGAGAAGATAAATACAAGTTGCCATGGAGTTAGCTAGGATGCAAAAGTAAAACATATCAACTATTTTATGATTGCCACTTCAAAACTGCTGTTACGCTGCAGCTCAGAGCAAATTGCGCCACTTTCATTGAAGGATAAACTAGCTCAGTCTTGCCTGGCACTAAAAGCACACATAGAATCAGTTACTGCAAAGAAGCATACGTAGGTATGAACATGCTCCTCCCATCAAAAAGCAGTAACTGATTCTACATAGAAAAACAGGTTCACAAAAAGCAATAACAATCATCAAATTGCTTCAGCATCAACATGGTTGCGTATTCCCTAACAAATGGATCCAGCATCTGTAATCTAACTTGCCTTGCAACAGTTTGAATGTGCACTCAGAAACCAGCACCTAAGTTCTATATTTAATGTGGGGCACATCTGAATTCACACACTTCCTTTTTCAGAAGAAACACAAGCAGCGTGACTTGAAAAGTAAGGATGTGGCAGTGCTGGTAATAGGACCCAGACTTTCCCAAATTGTCTTTGACCAGCAGACTTTGCTTCACCTCATTTCTTTGTGCAGATCAATAGTGAACGTCCATCCAGCTTCTGAAAAAGTTAATTATTTTTTTAAAATCAGTATAAAAGGAGGAAGAAGCAGAAACCGAGAAACAGGAGTTTGGGGGTGATACATTTTACAACATTGATCATAGTTTTCCTGTGACAGTAAAGTCTATTTGGGTTTTGTGTTTTATTGTGTGTTTGTTCTTCCGATGATATTTTAAATTTGAAATTTATCTCCTTCTGCAACCTCTGATCAGGACAATTTATTTTTTTTAAACAGTCTCCTCATTTTACTGACAGGTAAGACATATTCAAAACTATTTATTTACTTACTATAAATGTATGTATTTTTTTGTAAAAAAATACTCACGGTACCCAAGCTGAGAAATAACAAAGCTGTATTCTTCAACATTATGGATGCTTGCCAGATCTCCATCCTCCTTCCTGCAAGATGTTAAGGCATCTTTCCATATTTTGGGGTCCCTATGAATTATGTAACAGTGACCAGCATATGAGATCCATTGATCAGGACACTTAATAGGCACATTAGTCTCTGAAAAGAAAAAATGACAGGAAGAGTTTCAGAATTCTAATCTTAAATAAAGACTAAACATTATATAAGGAAAGATTAACAAAAAGAAATCATGTATTTTCTTCATGAAGAGCAACAGAGCTGAAAAATATGCATGGGGATAATAATCTGCATGCATAATTAAAAGTTGAAACTTCCATATTCTTATTAAAGACCACTACAGTTGCAAACAAGTTCTTGCAACTAGCAAAAAAGACAATTCAAACAGTTCTGACTTTTATATGCATGCATACATACTAAAAGGTACAGCCTGCAGAGCAGTGCTTTTTCGTTTTTGTACACTCTTGTCAGCATCTCTCTTCAACTTCCAAGCTGTAGGGCTATCTGTTAAGAACCTGGGTTTACAATACATATTTATGAGGGTAATTTTTTCCCCCAAAACTTCAGCATTTTATGGATTAGCCCCATTTGCTAGACTAGCAAAGAAGAAATAACTGATTTTGCAGAACCACAAGAAAACCCAAATAAGAATACTGCTTTTAGGAATCCTTTTCAGAAGCTTCACTGAGAATATTTTGCTGTCAAAGTAAATGATTTATGCATAAAACTTGCTTTTAGAAGTTCAGCAGAACAGCACCAGAGTATTGCCAAGAAACACATTGCTGTTCAGCAAACAATTCAGCCTTGGGAGGAGTGCCACCCGAACATATAATAAACAGAGTACTGCTGTTATAGAAACAAATGATGATTCTTGCAGTGTTTTTTTTTTTTTTAGAACCAGCAGATGGGTTTAGCAAACACCAATACAGAGAGTAGAACAAGGACAGCAGGTTTTCAGATATTCTGCTGGCAAAAAACCCTTGTGTATGTCAGAAGGAGAAACAATATGATTGTGCCTAACAGTGGGGTATCTTCTGTAGAAATGTTGCAATAGGCACTCAAAATGATGACCAGTCGGGCCCAGGCTGCAAGCACATATCCTGTTTCAATTAGAGTATGCTGATGATTAACACATACTTAAGGTCACAATACACATTTCTGTTATAAACAGTGTCTGCTGTTTCAGATCTGACTCTAAAAACTGATAGCATGTTCTCACAAAATTTAAGTAAAACTGAACTTTTAGTCACCCACGACAAAGGGTTCAGTGCTTGGTCAGAGCCCTCTCAATTCTGCCTCATGAGAGGAGGAACTGGAATAGAGAGGTGGGGAATCCCAGAAAACCAAACCCAATGTGCTTGGTGATGTTGGGCGAAACAGGACAGCACAGAGGTGGCAAATGCTGCTGTAGAGCTTAGTCTTACCCTTCAGCCAGACAGAGAATATGCACCTCCAACATACTCAGCACATCCTTCTGCAAACTGCAAACACTGAATAGAACAGAAATCAGCCCCTCAGATATGGCTGCAGACAGAGTCACAAAGGTATTTATTCCTCAGTGAGTCCATGAGCATCTCTTTTTCAAACCAATGGAGACAGTGGAGTATTACTGTATGACTAAAGCATCTATGGCAGTGTGGGAAAATCTTTTGCTTGTAGACCCAGCAACAGCAGGGAAATTGTTGCAGGCCACAAAAGAAGAAAAGAAGTTGTCAGTCTAGTTTCTTTGGTGTAAGTCTTATTGAATTATATTGCTGGGGATTTCTTAGTATGAGAAACTCTTCAGTGCTTCATTTTGACTACTCAGCAAAAATGAACTCTGTGCTTCCCTATTCTACTTTTAAAGAAAATACGTGACAACACAAAGAGATACGGTCTACTTTTTCATCCTAATGGAATGAAGTAGTACTCCCTGACTGTCATGTGGTTTAAGCAAAAGAAGCAATGCAAATGACAATAAATAAAACGTAACAAAGAAAATTACATTAATGTGTAAAAAACAGTATACCAAGTGTCAAGCAGATTAATTTACTGGTCTGTAAGGGAAGAACAGTTATTCCTCAAATAAAGAGCAAATTTCTCTCTCATACCTATCCTCTTTGGTCCGATAAGAGTGAGCTCACACAGCAGCTACAAAAGTAACAGTAAGACCATTTATTTCCTCTAATTGAATATTTAATGAAACATTTTGAAACAATAAGTTCACTACACCTTGTTGGCTTGGGATGAAATCAAGTTTGGCCATCACTTGGTGAAGGTAGAGAGACGGAAAGCCTTTCCTTAGAAAATTAAGTTTAAAAATAAATACATTTTGCAGTTGAAATTAATATGTTCCTATTAGTCTGCTATGCCGTGTTACAAGGCAATTCTGTGTAGCCCTAAGATTCTGCATCACTTTGTTGTATAAAAGGATGTGGCCCCCTGCTGGAAAAAATGGGTTTGCTACAAAACAAAAAACCACAACCCTGCAGCTGTTGGCTTGGTGAAAATCCATTGGTAATGAAAACAAATGTTCTGTAAAGAGTTTTCTCAACTTCGCTTTGAACACAAGCATTATTCTATTTGGTTGTAAAGAGTTCCTCTGCCCCACAGACCTCACCTGCTGCCCTGCTAGACTCAACTGTAACTGCTAGGGTAAAAATGTCAAAGGCCTCTGTGGTGAATGCCAAGTGAACAACTAAGTGCACGTACGAGTTTGCAATTAATTTATTTCTTGACTCAGGAGCCCTAGTCAGGAAAACAGAATCTGCCAAGAGTTTTCCTTTACACCTTTAAAACCTGAGGGCATTTAACACCTTGCATGATCCCATGCTTACTCTTTTTATGACTTCCCCCCATGGGACATTTTGGGAAATATTTTATGAAGTGAACCACTGTCAGTCTCTGGTTAATTTATCACCATGTTTACTCAGCAATTTCTGTTCAGTTGAAATCTTTTGTCTCATTTCTGTTCTTCCTCCAAATTACTGGTTAACTGGGGGGTGGAGACAGGGCTGGGGGGAGAATCAAAAGCCTAATGCAAAAGAAATGGCCAGTAGACCCCCCAAAAAACTGAATTTAAATCTAAATAATCCAGCAGCCAGTATTGAATTGATAGTCTATTTATAAGCATCACAGTTTAAGAACTGAAGTATGAAACCTGAAAAGCTGCGCAGCCTAAGACAACCTTTATAAATTAAACTATCACGTGTATACAAATTCTAATGAAACTTTATTTCTTAATTTAAGAAATAATTAAAATATGCATTGAAGTCTTTCTCAGCTAAGACAACAAATATGCTGGATTTCAATCCTGAAGTATTAATTAATTGTTAAATATTTATTTTAATATTCAATTAATGAAACATTCTCTCATTGCTGTGGTTTTTTTCACTTAGCAATTAAACATAACAAATTAGGCAGAAGCCTCTGTTTTTGACTGGACTGATTCTATATTGGCAAACCCAGGAAAAATGTAAAATAAAAAGAACAAACCCACAACTGCTTTTTTAAGCCAAATGTCAAACACTGATTTTCCAAAACATCTGTTTTGCCAATAATGATGCATATGAATAAATGAACTGGAAATCTAGTAATTGTTTAGTCTTCTTTACAACCTATAAAAATAATGTCAGTGGATTTAAGAGATAGAAGTCATGTCCTGGAAAATGAAATAAATTTGGAAAAAACAGAAAGAAGGAGTGATAAACAAAGGAATAAGTTACAAGGTGTTTATAGGACACAGATAATAGGTCTAAATAAAGCTTATCCCTGTTCTGTGTTTCCTATGTACATTAGGCAAGTGCCAGAATTATATTTATTCTGAAAAAGTGTCTGTACATATATAATTAAAATTATTTCATAAAGAAGTTAAATAGCTTGAAGATTTATATAAATATTGCTATATAAATATATAAAAAATAGATATATTTAAAATAACTGACTCTCAAAAGAATTTTTAAAAACTCCTCTAGTCCACTACTGACTTGGACTGACAAACGTACTCTGTTTCATAATTAATAAAAGTTACAGGAAGAAGAAATTAATTAATTTCATTGTGTAAATGTGAATTCAGATAATTACATCATTTTAGAAAACATTCAATTATTTTTTTTAATTTATAGACAAAATCTGGCAGTTCTGCTTGGTTTTGGAAAAGGGAACTCCACAATTTTGCAATTTAGAACTCAAGACTATTGAAGAAAGGTTATTACACAGGAAATAGGGAAGTCAGAGTAAAAAGGAAGTACACACTAGTCGCCTTTAGAGAGAATCTTGGTCAAACCACAATCTAGAGATGTCTTTGCTTGGTTTTTCCACATGTAATAACACCTATTACTATTACAGCTATAAAAACCTGGCCATTAATAAATTGTTGAGGGTTTATTGCCAAACCTACCTGTAGGAATAATGAAAGATCCTAAAGTAGCATTTCCTCGTTTACAAATATAGCCAAGCCTCTGTTCACATTCCCGGTTCTCCCACTTTGCACCTTTGCCAGGATTCAATGCACCACACATTTTTCCAGGTTCAGGAGAAGGAGAGCCTTAAAAAAAAAAAGCCAACAACAGCAAAGTATAAGCAAAACATGATCACCCTCCTAACTCTCACATTCTGTTTTGGTCCATGCTTTAAACGTAAGATACATCAACACAGAGACAACTGGGATTCTACACAGTCCTTTAGATAGAAGGAGGAAGTTCATTCCAATAAGAGATAATTTTTTCACAGTAGCCACAAGTTGCAGATTCACAATTTAACAAGTTCAAAGCCTTGATGGAAGGTATTACAGTGCACATATTTATTTTCTTTCATTTATTTTCTTTTGTAAATGGAAAATACCTAAACTCCAGAGGACAACCTTTAGGTAAAAAAAACTGTGCAGCAAGTTAGTCAAATTCTTGCTATACAAAAAAAAAAGAGTAATTATTTTGCTAATGTGAACTTCTTGTCCACTTGTCTGAAGAATAAGAAAATAGCAGGATATTTGGATATTTTCAGCTGAATATTAGCATTGGCACCAACGGAAATATCCAGAAGGAAAGTAGAGCCTGTAGAACAGAACAAATTTCTGACATAGATCAGATCAACTTTTCAAGCTCTGATTTACTGTTTAAACTTAGCATGTTTTTTCTTTCCTTTCTGAATACATGCCACTATACTACACAACAAGGATCAGTACTACTCAGCAGTAAACACACCAAAACAATATTTTTAGTGTGTGCAATTGTTCACTGAAAATTTTCTTATATCATTATAATTTCATTACTTTAGATTAATGTTAGTCTTATATTTGCAGTCAGGTTATATCTTCTTCCCATCAGACAAAAAGATATACTTATCTCAAAAATACAAATTTAAGTTGTTTTAAAGCACCAAAAAAAGGTTCAGCTGTTGGCAGCTAGCTCTCCCAAATGCCTAAGTAGTATAACGTAAGCATTGATAACAGTTTCCTTTTTTTTGGCAATGTATTTAGGGCTAGTGAGATGGAAAAATATGAAGTTTCCACAAATTCCTTTACAATATGCTAGTGAAAAAATAGCCAGTTCTTGAATATCCAGTGCAATGGGGATGAGACAAAGGTAGGCTGAACAATGTCAAGTCGTGAAGGAGATAGGAGAAATACCAAGTAGGTTATATGAACATTGGAGTAGAGTATATGGACATTAGAGCAGAGTATTACCTTTGAGGGAAATTAAGGAACATTAGGAGTTAAAGATAAATGGAGCCCATTTTTGTTACACCAAAATCCATCTAATTCCTTATAGTACAACGGAGAGTTGTCTGCAGTTTTAGCAACCACAAACAGCTCACTTTGCTGTTGTTGATCTCACAATCAGTTTTCCCTCATTCTTCATTACACACAGATCCTCATCAGTGAGCTTGTATGACAGACCTATAAATACCTTAACAGCAACTTGCAGTTCAGCCCATCTGTTTGCCTTGTGTGCTCACTCCACTGGAGAGCTATTTATAAAGTACTTCAATTCACTCTTCAAAGCTTACCTGCTCAAGAAGTGTGTCCACCTAAAATGTGCTTTTGCTCTTATCAACACACGGAAGCTACTGGGTGATATGATGAAGTGTGCATTTCAGTTACGGATGATTAAGTACATGTGAGATGCTCAATGAAGATAAGAGTATTTACACTGCATAACTTCAGACATCTACTTTAAATTAGTCTCCAAAAGCTTCCTGAACAGCCAGTGCAAAGGAACAAGGCAAGGGTCCTGCAAAAAGACACCTTAACACAGGCACTCTGAATAGTAAACCAGAGAAGCAGCTTCTCTTCCCCGTGTGCACAGATGGCAGTGACTTGCTTTTTAATAATGGCATCAGAGTTCAACACTGCAGCTACAGGTGGGAAGTGGCTGAGCTTCCTTCAAAGCAGACTAACCTAACATGTTCAGTTTTATATGTGATCCTGCTGTGGGTAGGTTAACCCCAAATGAAAATGAAAATCTATTCCTTAAGCAAATAACCAAAACAAATTGGAAAGGAATTTAAAGCAAAACAAACAAGAAAAAACAAAATCAACACCACCGAACAGTCTAATCTCACAAATGAAGACACCTCTTGCATCGGAGAAATCAACACCACCGACCAGTCTAATCCCACAAATGAAGACACCTCTTGCATCGGATTTATTCCGTATTCATATAGAAATAAAGTAAATTAAGAAGGTATACAAGTCAAGCATCAATCGATGACTTTTAAAACTTTCCTATGGATTTTGAGGCTACCCTTTCCATTATGAATAATAAATTAAACCCAGTCCACATTCCTAGCATAAGGACAATTACTCACACCATTTATAATCCCAGTCAGAATCTTTCATCATCAAAACAAGCTCAATAATTGCAGGAGAATAGAGCGCTAGAAAAGAAATATGTTACACAATGACCAAACTTTTGCTTTTTAAGCTAAGAACTTACTTAACCTTACCTGGAACCCAGTTTAAGTATCGAAAAGGAGCACCACCAACCCATTGCCATCCACTGTTGAAATCCAAACTGTTAAGACCAAACCAGAGAGAAGAACTCAATCTGCCAGTCAAACCTAGGTAACAGAGACAGAGAGAGATACTGAAAGTCCACAGCAAGAGAAAACACTTTCTCAGAGCTTGAAAGCTGAATTCCAGCTAAACCATCTGCTTCTCTTTTTTTCCCAGTACAGGTTTTAATAACATTTTAGTTAAGGCAACTATGCTAAGCCTGCAAAACATGTCATCTTACATGGGTCACTTCAGTTTTAGAGTTTTCACATTTTAAGATGTGGAGAACTGCATCACAATAGAAAACAAAATGGCACTTCTACATGTTCTTTGTAAATCAAAGATCAAAAACACAGAATAGCTTTGACCAGAATTATAAAATATTAAATTGATAAAATTGCACAAAAGGTCACAAAACCAAAAATAGTTTTTTCTAAAATGAAACATGAATAACTTCCCATTGTTCATTTTCTCTTCCATAAAATTTACGTGTGAGTTTCAAATTTATAAAATACTGCAAAGAAACTGCCCACATTTTATCAAAGTACATTCAAATGCAATCATTACAAACATCAAATTAACCGTATATCTCGTGCATTTTTCAGACCCATCTGATTTCAATTCTTAGCCAGTGACAAGTCAAGCTTTGAAACAAATTTCAAACTTATTGCTCTAGTTCTGAAAAGTACCCAGAAATATTATGTATGGTCCTCCTGAATTCTCTAGTATTATTCATAGACACAGTTAATCAATTCTGATTAATTAAGCAATTCTGTCTTTCATATAAGTCTTGGAAGCCCAACTAGATGGCTGCTGAGTCTTTTTAATTAAATGTGCTGCTTCAGAATTCACAGAAAATCACTGTGCACTGAGTATTATTTATTTCTGCTTCTGCTTATGCCATCAGGTCAGTATGTTACAATTTTACTGTATTTATTTCAGTTCTCTTTGGCACCATGGTTACGGGCAGCAGTTGAAGCATGGTAAAGTTAAAAGGTGAGGTAGTTAAGTATTGGAAAGGACTGAAATGTCATACCACAGCCTGGTTTGGCATCAATACATTAATGTGTTCCAGTACTTCTTCTGTACAAAGAAGTTGTGGTTAACTGAGCATGAGAGGAAATCCTGGTACTGCCAGGGTAGTTGATAATGAAAACCTGATTTTCATGTATATTTGACAGCCATATTTATAAGTTTGCAATTACAACACACCTACTAATAACTCACTCCTATGTTAGTGCCAGTTTGCTACCTCGAACATTTATTTTGACAATAATTTCATCACATTCAGTTAAAAAAGACGCGTGTTTTGATCAAATCCTTAAAACAGACCATTCATAGGATTAAAAATACATTTCTCATTCATCTAAATTGGAGAAATATGGATTTCATTGACAGATTATTAGGTGGATAAGAAATTGGTTTGATGTCTGCATCCAAAGAATTCCAGTCAACAGCTTAATGTCCAAATGGAAACCAAGTAACAAGTGGTGTCCCTCTAGGATCTATATTGGGACGGATACTATTAAATATATTTGTCAATCACATAGACATTGGGATTGGGTGCACCTTTGGCAAGATGAGTGGTGTGTTTGATTCACTTGAGGGAAGGGATGGCAACCAGAGGGTCTCTGACAGGCTTGAGTGGACCCATGGGAACCTCGTGAAGTCCAACAAGGCCAAACACCAGGTCCTATACTTGGGCTGTGGAAATTCACAATATGAATATGGACTGGGGGATTAATGGCTTGAGAGCATGCCTGAGTTGGAAATGTGCACTCATAGCCCAGAAAGGCAATTGTATCCTGGGCTGCAGCAAAGGCAGCATGGTCAGCAGATTCAGGGAGGAAGATGATCCTGTCCCTCTACTTGGCTCTGGTGAGACCCCACCTGCACCCTGCTCTGGGGTCCCCAGTACAAGAAAGCCATGGACCTCTTAGAGCAAGTCCAGAGGAGGCATGAAAATTCATCAAAGGGCTAGAACATGCCTCCTCTGAAGAATGGCTGCAAGAGTTGGGGTTTTTCAGCCTGGAAAAGAAAAGTTTCTTGGGAGACCTTCTCATGGCCTTTCAGTATATAAAAGGGGCTTATAACAAAGTTGGAGAAAGACTTTTTACCAGGGCTTGTAGTGACAGAACAAGGAGAAATGGTTTTAAAACTAAAGAGTGTAGATTTAGATCAGGCATAACAAAGACATTTTTTACACTGAGGATGGTGTGGCACTGGAACAGGCTGCCCAGGGATACAGTTGATCCCCATAATTGAAAGTGTTCAAGGTCAGGTTAGATGAGGCTTTGAGTGATCTGGTCTAATGTATGATGTCCTATCCCATGGCAGGGAAGTTGGACTAGATGACCTTTAAATGTTCCTTCCAACCCAAACCATTCTCTAACCTTGTGATTCTATGAATTTCGAGTACAACATATAGCTTATGGCATACAATTGTTTTTCTTTCAGCTGACACAACATATTCAAATTATTTTCTGATCTATTTAATAGATGAATTAGTGGACTATTTCATGTGTGTACACAGACTAAGAAGGAAATAAAGAGGAGATGCTCTCACTGTAGAAAGTAAATATATTTAAGAATTTTGAAATTCAGAATTTTCTAAGAGGAGAAGTTTGGAAATTACTTCAAAACACACTGAAAGAGATTGAAACTAAAAGACTTCTTTTTTCTTTCTTTTCATATTTTAGCACATACTGATCATGCAACAGCTTTAATGAGATAAGCCAAACACACTGACTAGTACACACAACAAATACAATGCAAAAAGGATGCTACCTTGGCATCTGCACCTTTGGTTTACAAACTATTTTATATTTTTCTGTATTCCAACATTAATTCTTTATTCCTTGCATCACTTAAGTGTTGCATTTTTTATATTATTTTAAGCGTATGGCAATATTTAATCAGGATAAAATAAGTATTACCTCTCCTATATTCCCAGCTGAATCATTCAACAATTTAATAACAATTTAAATCTACTAATTACCATAATTGAACAAATATACATTTTCAAGGTGGATCATGCTGTGTAAGTGTTACTGTTGCAATAATACACTTTTTTAAAAAACTGATGGATAATATTACCCTACCTGCCAGGTATGTCTGTTCATGTAATTCTGTGATGCTTAATAACTCTGCCTTCTGTTGCTGACAACTTTTTCTTGCCTGGTGCCATTTCAGAGCTGATTCAGCGTTTATTTGGTACTGGACATTGGTTAAAGTATCCGTATTCCACAATGAGTCAACATTATTAACTGTAGGGAGAAAAAGAAATGCTGTAACTTATCATGAAGATTTTATAGCAGAAATACAGAAAAAAACTGCATAGCAAAAATTCACAAAACCTAAACTGCTACAGACAGCTGGTTTGAAAGGAATCCTGAGGCTCTCTATGTGTTAGTAGATCCAGGGCAGACGTAAAGCATGACAGCCATGTTGGACAGTAAACAGGGAATGAAGCAAGATCACCGTTTTCTCTGGTATAACAAAGCCACTTTTTAAGGCAAACAATGAGTGGCTAAAGTCATGCAAAGATCGTTGATTTGCCAATGTGGAAGAAAAGGCAAAAACCTTCCAGGCTGATGCTAGCTACAGTGTATATCAAGCTGAGCACTTTTCTGAGATAAGAAAACTCCCCTTTTTTTAAAAAATTCATTTGGGTTCTATGCAAAGTGCATATTCTTACTGTGGCAGAGGTGATCCGGCCAAAGAGCTGAATGCAAAGCTTACATTATCAGCATCCATCTCAGACTTTCCTGCAATTCCTAATTTCTTATGCATGTGCCTGACATGTATATGTCAGGCACGTGGCTTCCTTCTCTACCCCACAGCCTGACTGTGATCTCCTTGAATACCTGAACATGGCACATTTAGGCAATGCCAAACCAGTGAAATAGTCATCCAAAAGGGCCCAACATTAAAAGTGGCCCCAGAAGGTAGCACAGTCCTTACACTGCTGCAGTCCCTCCTGGCTCATCTGAAGTGAATCTCCACAACCAACCTACAGAAAAAAGTGTCATCTTGCTCTGCCAAAAATGGAACCTACATGAGGTCCCAGCACTGAGCTAAATATCACATAAAGAGTATAAAGCTGCATGTCAAAAGCAGAACACAGCAGAGGTCACTGTACATCTGCTGACAATGAGAAAACAACTGAAATTCCTGCAGACTGTATCAGTTTCTCAAGTTGAAATTCATGAAAAAAAAATTGAGTGAAAGTGGTCTTTCCTTCATCCAAATTCAGAGAGCTCAGAAAAATTAAGTGTGCAAACAGAGGGAAATAGTACAGTAACCAAAACTGAAGAAAAAGTATGATACATGTTAAATGTCAGCAGTTCCGTAACCAGTTCCATTTTTCCTGTATTAAATCTGATAGTCTATGGGTAATATGAAGTGCTTCTTTTCAAATTATCCTTATTTTAAAAATAAATAAATGACAAAATCAAATATAACATACTGTAATATGACATTTCACTTAAAATGGGAACTTTCAGCCCATTATCGTTATCCACAAACCAACTTCTATCCAAAACATTTTCTGATTATCAGAATCAAAAATTTTTTGCTACACTATGTTCTACAAGACAATAAATCCCTGTGCACAAGCACAGGACTGGGATAAAATGAAGATTGCGAAAATAGTAAAATCTATAATTCAGTAAGGAAAACTGGCTCTGACTAGATAGAAAGATGTTTACAAATCTTACACAATTATTATTGAAGAAGAGGTAAACTAGTCTTGGGCATTCATCCAATCTTCCACCTCACTCTTCCAGGCTCATAAGTTATAGCTGACTTTCATGTGCTGCTCTCCTGTAGAACCTCTGTCTTTTATTTTTTTTAAAAAATACTTATTTCTGAACTTTGGAAGGTTTGTTTCTAAGATATTTGAGCTTTATGAGGTCAAATGCATATGCAGAGCAGTATTTTGGGAGATCTATATGCTACTGTTGGAAACTGCAATAACAGAATCATGGCAAACAAAAACTGAATATAGATTTTTTAGGCAATCTATAAAATAACTATCTTCACTTACTCTCTGAGCACACAGTAGGAAGGGAACCTCATAACAAAGGTACTACAGTTTAGGTGAAGTATAATGCTGCCAAAACCAGCAAAGGCTAAATTAGACTAAATTTCCTTCACCTGCTTATTTTTGCTTAGGTATCTTTTCTTGAAGTGCTCCTCTCTTTCTTTTTCCTAGATAAATTTGTGAGGTCCAAAATCAGGCTAAGAGTTCCAGAAAAAAAAAAAAAACAGAAGAAAAAACACAATTAACCCTGTATAACCTATGCACTGGGCATTTTGAAGCAGACATAAAACCATAATGAAAAAAACCTTTCAAAACATCTTGAAACACCAGCATGGTCTAAAATCCTGTCATTAAAAATATATATATAAATTCAGTATATAGAATAAAAAACTCAGAACACAAGGATGTAGATTTATCCAATCATTAACATACCAAGCTAAGACTGCTTAAATATTTCCCCATCCTCTGCACTTTTTTTTTCTGTCCTAGTCAGTTGCAAGTTTTATGCATCACTTATAAGGCTAAGTTATTTACTATATACTTGTCCTTTCATCTACCAAGAAAGAGGCCTCAATGGACTTTTGCCCACTGGAATACAGCTGTAGGCACACCTTGACTTGCTCTCCTGATGGTCTTACACTGTGCAACCTGTTTTCTTCCCCAACACCTACTTTGCAGTGCAACATACAGCTCAAAAAGGCTGTGGTGTAAGGCACAGTGCAATCCATAAATAAGCAGCCTTTCCCAGGATGCTAAAAATTGTTTGCAGTAACAACACTTCTCAGTTCCTTTCTGTGGGATTTAAGTTTCTACTGTCACTGTATCAGAGTCTCTTTATAAATCACCAAATAAAGGGTCATACACACAATTACCTTACCTCCACTGATCAAACTTCTACACCTCTACTGAGTATAATAACTGTTATAAGTATGGTCTTATGCCCCCTTCATTTTGGAGAATATTTGAGGTGGTTTTGCTCACAACGAAAAGTGACTGGTACAATCACAGTAATTTCACTGTAGGACCAAGCCCCAGTGTGAACAGCTCGAAGTGTTTGCATTACATATTTTCATATTGGCACTTTTGCTCCCCTAAACAGTTCAAGAAATTACAAACACTTTTATCTTACTAAATAAACTTTAGTATATGGAGGCCTAAACATTCTACTTTTAAAGCTGTTAACATTTTAATATTATTAAATGAACGGTAAAATACACAGACTTAAACATATTTTTAAGGCTGTTTTTCACCTCTATTGCCTTATCATACTCTCGTATCTTGCTAATTCCTCTTTCACAGGGATGACTAAAACTTCTGCTACCATGGCCTGTGTCTCATTAAGATCTATGTCCCAAAATTGAGTATTTTATAGCCAGTACTGAGAAACCAGGAAGGAAACATGCAGGCAATCAGCATAAAGCAGCTTTTTCCAAAAACAATCACAGCCATCTGAATGGATTTCCTTGAATTATGCCAAAGAATTAAACAAACTTTTAATTATGTCTCCTATGAGTAGTACTCATTTAACACTAGACAGGTAGCATTCTTAAGTTGATCTTGCATGTGATTTATTAATGAGATTGATATTCCAAATATGTTTTTATTATCTTGAAAATAAGACTGGAATAGGAAAAAAAATTGCAAGTTTTATTTGTCTGAAATACTGAATGCAGCATTCATGGAAATCAGGCAAGGACACTAATACTTTGTCATCAAAATAAAGAAGAAGGGGGAGAAGTGCTACCCTTCTCAGCATGACAGAAGCAGCAGCTTGCAGACAATATGTTTTATACACATTTTACAGAAGTTCAGAGAAACTTAATTCAAATTTAAAAGAATTCAAATACAAGCAGGCATAAAATGCTCTAATTTACTTAAAGTCATATCAACATTTCTAAATGAAGTTCTGTGTATTCATAACACTGCATGTTTAACTCTAAGTATACTCAAACCAGAGAATCAAGAATATAAATACATTTAATTGAGTTAAAGCACAGAACTACAATATAGCATACAGATTTGGGAAACTCTGGGAAGTCGTAAAAAGCTCATATAAGTTCCTTGACGTCTAAAAGGCAACTCATCCTACAAAGTACTTTTAATTTTCAATTAATCTCTATTCTAATGTCCAGTTCTACTGCACAAATTTCTACACGGCCTTTTGTATGTACTATATATGCTAATGTAATATCTTTACATCTAAGTAACTTTCTATTTAAGGGAATGGTGTATATACAGGTTCCAGCATATGATTAACACTCTTGCACCAGGATGTAACTTGTCAATGAATTTTATGCTGGGCCCTATTTAAGTATTTAAGCATATTTAAGCAGTTCTGAAAAGAATGGCAGGCTAAATGGAGATGGGAAAATGCACCATTTCAAACTGTATTTTATACAGTAAAGCACATGTTATGGACATATTTCCAGGCAGCTGGAGAACAGCACAGTGGAATTATGAACATAAAAAGCTTACATTTCAATGGGCAAAACCCATACTTCCTGTCAACATCATAGTCTGAAGTGGTTCCACACCAGAACCAGCCATCTGATCTGCCAGCATCTGTGCAATCTGCATACCATTTACCACCATACTTAAAAGGGAATACACAAGGTGCTCCATTGTCATTTCCTTTCACTGTGTAGATATCTAAGGAGAGAGACACAACAATGTAAAAATGTATAAGCATTAATAAGTATAGGATATAGGTGAGCTCATCTTTATGATCCTATTACAGAGTATTATAACAAGAAAAGCTTTCTAGTTAGTATACAAACTGTACTAGAAATAGGACACTGATCATTTTACTCTGTAGGTCTAAGAGATATCCATGTCCACAATAAGACAAATTTTTGTTGCTTGAGGAGATCACTGACTGCAACTGATCGAGCCAAGACAAGTATATTCCCCTGTTAAATTTCACATGCATAACAATCAAAAGTATAGATCCACAGAGTTAAGCAATTTTCTTTTCAAGTACAACTGTTGACTCTTCTGTCAATAACCCACTCAACTGCTGATCATTTTAGCCAGGGAAGAGCACGCACATACAAACCTGAAAGATATATACCACAGAGTGACTCCAATATACTGTGGCCAAAAAAAATTTCCATTTGTATCTAAAGATAATTTTTGTTTCATCAGAAAGCTGACACAATGAAACTTATCCAAGTAACTAAAGAAGTTTTCTCTGTGTGAACATATATATGCATTGATGGGAGGACATACAGAGGAACAGTGCTTGACAAGGACTCTTAGCGAGTTGACATACCAAGGTCACTGTCTCACAGAGCTGCTACAAACAAGGAAGAAGGAATAGCAGGGCATCACTCCATCTCCCCCCTGCTGCCTTTCACATAATCTGCTTTGCTAGGGATCTTGTATTCTGGCTTCAGGCCAAGAACTAGTAATCAGCCATGGTGTAAACCACAGAAATTGCATCCATACTTCCCTCTGTGACCATTCCTGTTTATCAAACAATACTAAATGGGAAGTCAAATATATTCCCAGATACTTATCATA